TTATGGTTGGCCATGTGGGAGTCCAGTGCCTTAACCACCATGCCACCTGCTGGCCTCTCATCCATACCTTTAATGAGTACAATAATTAGTTACCCAGTTGTTTGTTTCTAGAGTTGCTTGGGCAAATTCAAGCCCCTTGAAGGCAAGGGTAGTATCTTAAAACAATATTAGCACCTGCTCTATTATGGTAGACTAACTAACTGCTGTGACAGCCTTCAAAATATCAGTAGCTCAGATCAGTAAAGGTCTATTCCTCCCTTTCATTGCAGTCTAATGTCATTAAGAAGGAGTTGGGTATGTTCTGTTCCATACAATCATTCAGGGACTCAAGCTTTCATCTAGAAGTTCTGTCATCTCGGGACCAGCAGTTAGCGTAATGGCTATGTCTCTGGACTCCCACGTAGTTGACCGTGGTTCGCGTCCCGGACCCAGTGGATTAAAACTCACACTGGGCGCGTGTGCATGCATGCCCAAGATCCCGAGAGGAGAACGGAGAAGGGATTGCAGCGTGGCCATTCCCCCTGGGGGGTGATTTCTCGCTTTCTGTCTCTCTGTCTCTCTCTCTAGTCTGGCAAGCGCACGCACCCTATAGCAAAAATCTCTTCAAAAAAAAAAAATAGTTCTGTCATCTCCTAGGCCTCTCCAGTCCCCCACAGAATCTTTCACCACATTCCATTGGCCAGAACCCAGTCTCAGGGCACCACTTCACAAGAAGCTTGGAAATAAAATCCCACAGTGTACTCAGAGAGGAGAGAAGAACTTGGGTACTGGTGGGAATTAGAAGCTGCTGATACACCCAAGTTGTGAGACACAATAAGGGGCTTTATGCAACCACCACACAAACTTAAGTGGGTGTCAATGCATCTAAGTTTTTCAGGCAAGGTGCTGAAAACTATGTATGATCATTAAATTTTTGAACCTTTAAATCACGGAACATGTTTAAAAACTAGACTACTGTTTAGAATCAGCTTAAATATTATTTTTAATATTCAGGAAAATATCAATAGCCATTAAGATTAGCAACTAGCTGTTAAAAGCAAAGACTTCTGAACTGAGTAGATACAGGATGCTTCAAAACAAATTCCTCACAGATTTCTTCTCAATCTAGGAATACACCCAACATTTAGATAATGTTTATACTTAGCTCCAAAAGGAATGTTTCAAACTGAACTAGTTCTGTTTATAAGAAGATTTGACTAGGAAGGAGATTTTGTATCAGTGGGAGGATAACATTTGACCCATTTGCCCAAAACAGAGTTGAAATGTCATGAATAATGATGCTAATAGTCTCTATAGTCTTTTTTCTTTTCTTTCTTCTTTTTCTTTTCTTTCTTTCTTCCTTTCTTTCCTTCTTTTTTTTTTTTTTTTTTTCTCTTCTTTTCCTTTTTTTTTTTTTTTTTTTTAAATGAGAGAGGGATTTCTGCTATAGGTTGTGTGCACTTACCAGGGAGACAGAAAGCAAGCAATCACCCCTCAGGGGGCATGGCCACACCACAATCATTTTTCCTCATTCTCTCCTCTCAGATTTGGGGCACACATGCATACGCACCTGGTGTGAGTTTTAAGCTGCCAGGTCCAGGACTCAAACCACGGTCAACTACATGGGAGCCCTATGACGTAACCATTATGCCATCTGTTGGTCCCATAGTCTCTATAGTCTTAACACAAAAGACAAAAAATACAATTCTGGAAAAAAAAAAAGTGACATTCTCCAAATTCTTACAGTAGTTAAAAATCAAAAGCAATTAAACTTTTCAGTCAGAAGTGAGTTTAATTTAAAATCAGAATGGATTTTTATTATAAAGAAGGAAAGGCAAAAACATTCAAGTAAAAAAACTGGGAAAATAAGAGTTAATCCAGCAAGAAGTACAAATTGTCAAATAAAAAATCTGAGCTATGACACCGTGGTTACAGGTGGAAGAAATCCAGGGTCTGGGCATCCCGAGAAACATGCTTGGAAGCCAGGAAGTAGGAAGCTAGGCAAGAGCATCCCTCATGAATCCAGTAACCAAAGTATGCCCCTTAAAAATCCCTGAGGATTCTGAGGAAGTGATGAGGGGCGTGATGGTTAGTTTTGGGTGGACTAAGGAATACCCAGAAGTTTGATAAGGTACATTCTGGATGTGTCTGTGGAGGTGTTTTCAGAAGAGATCAACATGCAAGTCTGAGTAGACTAGATGCACAAGATCTAACCTAGATCTCTGGGACCCCTGATGTCTCAGGTGTTTAGCCTCACACTGTGAGTTACATCATCAGCTTCCCTGCCTCCGAGGCCTTAGGCCTTGGACTAAAGCACACTACCAGAATTTCAGGATCTCTGCTTATAAATGGCCTGTTATGGGACTTCCCAGCTACCACAATCACGTAAGATGATCCCAATAAGCCCCTTCTTATATATCTGCACAAACCTATTGGTTCTATCTCCTCAGAGAACCAGGACTAACACAAGGGGCCTTCCAGTAAAGGAGGCAATTTGGGATCCATGGCATATTCCAGAGTGTGACGGATCACTGCACTCAGGGAGAGTATTTGATCAAAGTGTGATGTTTGCTAAGACTGAGAGCAGTAAGGTGGGCATCCACCATTCTGTCTGCCTACCTTGCTTTTTTCTGGTATTGCTCTCCAATTCCCTTTGTAGAACCAACTTTCTGTCCTCTCACTCCACCGCTTCCACTGTGGCTGATCCTATTCATTGTCTTTAGGAGATGAACACATGACTCAGGGAGATCAACGTAGTTTTGCCTGGAAAAAGACTTTTTTCCTGGAGGCTTGTTCAGCTGGTAAAAGGTAAACGTGGATGGATCTACTGGTAGCCATCTTTTCAATAGACAGTGTGATCTTGTCTGAGAATGAAACCCACACTGGAGAAAGAACTGAAAAAATGGAGAGACAGTCCTGACAATTTCTTCTTGAGTAGCTGGATCAAGCCATGCTTGAAATCCTTCCTTGATTTTTCAAATGTGTGAGTCAAGTTTGTTTGGGGTGTTAATATGGTGTGTTCAGTCTGCACCAAACTATGCCTAGGGATGAAAGATGTAATGATAGGCTTCATGGGAGTTATGGCGATAGCTGATGTATCTCTTTCTTTTTTTTTTCTCCAAACAAAATTTCTTTTTTTTTTTTTTTTTGCTACTGGGCATGTATGTTCTAGAGAGAAAGAGGTGGGGGGAGTGAGAAATCACCACTCCCAGAGGGATGGCCACACCATGATCTCTTCTCCATTCTCTTCTTGGGAAGAGAAAAAAGAAAAGAAAAAAAAAAAGAAAAGGAAAGGAAATCTGTGCATATAATTAGTAAAAGGTGACAAGAATTTTTCTTTTCTTTTTTTTTTTTGGAGAGGTTTTTGCTATAGGGAGCATGCGCTCGCAAGACAGACAGAGAGAGACAGAGAGACAGAAAGCCAGAAATCACCCCCCCAGGGGGGATGGCCACGCCGCAATCCCTTCTCCTCCATTCTCCTCTTGGGATCTTGGGCATGCATGCACAAGCACCCGGCGTGAGTTTTAAGCCACCGGGTCCGGGACACGAACCACGGTCGACCACGTGGGAGTCCAGCAACATAGCCATTACGCTAACTGCTGGTCCCACAAGAATTTTTCAAAATCCAAAAGTAGGACAGAAAAGATTGGTGGACTACGGGGATGGTGTAGTGGCAGTGGGAAGGGAGACTCAGGGTGTCCTGTTGAAGTCCTCTGACTCATCCTGGCCTGACATCATTTTCTTTGCCTCCCAGCTTTTTGTGTGCTTTATCATTGAGACTATCTATGTCCTAATATGAGCCCCACCCCAGCCCCACCAGGAGCAGAAGCATAGCAGGAGGCAAAGGAATGGTACTGTATTTGTCCCCATTCTGTTTAAGCCATGCTGGAACCTGCTCCCAGGGAATAAATACATAGTGAAACTGGAGTGTTCACCATCTATCTACATTCAACAACCTAAATAAAGACATTTTTCTCAACTAAGTGAGAGAAATGTTCAACTGGCATCTTTGTGGTACCCTCCCATGAAGTGGTTACCAGGGATATTTGTCATACTAGTCGCTCTTAGTGACCCTTCCTGTGCCAGTCCTCCTTGTACCTGGCCTTTGAGCTCCCTTACATCCAAGAGGCAGGGACCTCTCCAGGGTCCAGCCAGGGCCTTATTGTGGGGAAGCTGCTCACAAACCCCTTTCAGAACTGCCGGTCCCACACATTCCAGCCCATCAGTATCCCTTCCGTTTCCTACTTGTTTCCATTCATTCCTCTGAAGAGCAGGGATACTTGAAATAATAGGCAGACAATTTTCCCACCAGGTTCTGGGCAGTAGTGGGATACGCTTGTCCCTTTCTACTTAAGGCTGGGATCAGAGCTGGCCAATGGTATCCACAGTATTTCTAGTTCTGGGAAGACAGGGTTACTAGGACATGAAGTCCCAGAAACCTTTGGTAGAATCTGGGACAGCTGATCATCTAAAATTATCTCATAATTAATAAATTATTCCCTGCTCTTTACTCAGGGGGATAGGCATTACCATATTCTAACTCGACTGAAAACTGGTAAGTTTCTTGTTTAGGGAGAACCCTGGCTCTCTGAGTTTCCCAAAATGTACCTTTTATATTCCAAAATGTACCTATTAATAAATCCTGTAAGAAAATCCTGTGCCAACTTCAAAATAAGCACAAAATACTACAAACTTCCTTATCCAGTCCCAAATGGAATTTAATTGATCTCTCTGCTATGTTCTTAGAACTATCTGTATGTCTGCTATGGCCCTTCTCTGGTCTCATTGTCAACAAACATACTGGGACTTTTATGCCTCAGATGAGCAGAATTCAGAGGTTTGGCAGCTGCCTCCCATGAGGCTCTGAGAAAAGAGCATTCCTGGCACTTGAGAAGCATGCATCACCTGCTTTTATTAGAACTGCATGAAAGAAAAGTTGACAATTGATTTAGGGGACTCCTGTCCCCATTCTGTCTTTTTAGTGACAGGCTGTGATAACAAAGCTGAATATTTTCTTTCAGGTGAGGCACAGTGAGCTGGCTCATAACTAAGAAACCCAAACACTGGCTGGGGATGGCACCTCTTTCCAGGCACTGTCTCCTTCTCATTGGAACACTGGGTGTCCTGGTACTTAACTGCTGCACCAACGGTCAGAGGAACAGCACGCTGATCTTCACCAAGGAAAATACCATTCGGAACTGCAGCTGCTCGGCAGATGTCCGGGACTGTGACTACAGTTTGGCTAACCTGATGTGCAGCTGCAAAACAGTCCTGCCTTTCGCAGTAGAGCAAACCAGCTACAATGGTCACCTGACCATCTGGTTCACAGACATGTCTACCCTGGGCCACCTGTTGAACTTCACACTGGTCCAGGACCTGAAGCTTTCCCTGTGCAGTACGAACACTCTGCCCACTGAGTACCTAGCTATTTGTGGTCTGAAGAGGCTTCGCATCAACACCGAGGCCAAGTATTCTTTTCCAGAACAGAGCTTGCTCATCCACAGCACTGTGGACAGTGACTCCAAAGAGAAGCCCGTGTCATTACACAAAGGCTGGCAAACATGTATGTATATCTCATTCTTAGACATGACTCTTTTCAACAGGGACTCCTCCTTAAGATCATATAGTGTTGAAAACATTGCCAGCATTGCAGACAACTTTCCTGACTTTTCTTACCTTAAAACCTTCCCAGTGCCAAACAACAAAAGCTATGTCGTCACATTCATTTACTAGCATTGGAACCAGTTTGGACTTTGGCAAATGATGGATAATTTGAGCAAGGAATGTGGGAATCTGGCTATGGGTATCTCTGATCACTACTACACTTTGCTCCCCAGCTCCAGTTCCTGATAGTCACACATACAAAGAACCAGCTCACTCTGCTCTGTGCTCAACTGTATGAGTTCTTTTGAGAAATTAAATGAAAAGAAATGAAAAAGCAAAGCAAAACAAAAATACCTCAAGTCAGTTCAGAGATATTTCTTAAGGACCAGGTACAGGGTAGGTCTTTGCAACTGGGAGTATGTGGAGAAGGCAATGAGTATAAGGAACCACTAGCTTAGAGGGGCACAACACACACAGGGCATGACCCCCAAGAAAGGTATGATTTCGAAACGCCACCTTAAGTTCTTTTCTGCTTCCTTTTGTAACAATCCCCCTAAGTAGAGAATGATAGATTTTAGAAGTTTCAGGACTGAGAACTCCACAAAATAATTAGGTTCTCTTAGATTGCTATTTTCCAAATGCCTGGCTAAGAACAGAGGCATTGAGAATGGAGTTTTGAGATTGTTGGGGTTTAGGTAGGACAGGCATGGATCCAGCCTGGGGTGGGGTGGTTAAGGCAGCTGGATACTCATGGCTGGGTGGCTGACTGGTTTGGATCACGGCCCTGGCATCTTGAGAAATATGTAGGGCATGTGTGCATGTCCAAAATCCTGAAAGGAGAGAGACAGAGAAGGGATTATGGCATGACCATTTTCCAAGAAAATGCTTTCTCATTTTCCCTCTTTCTTTGTCTCTCTAGTGAATGCACATGCCCTCTAGGGTGGGAGTGAGGGTGGAGGTGGGGAGGTAGAACAGGCATATGAGGGCACCAGGATTCCCAAGAGGGGAATGCAGAAATGAAAATTGGGGCTGGCTTTATGGCAGAGTGATAACACACTGCTCAAGAGATGCCAGATTCCACGTGGCAACTCTGGTTTGAATCCCTGGACTAGTCAGCTTGAATCATGCTGGCCATGTGTGCAAATGCCCAGTATCAATCTGCAATTGCTAGCCTCTTAAATTTTCTAGTTCTAAAAATGATTTTTACTAGTCTTTAAGTTTAAAAAGAGAAAGTGTCTAATGCACTTGTGTTTGCACTTCTGAATTAAGGAATAATACACATTAAATGATACAAAAGTTTGGGATGGTACTAATCTACTTAGACTATGTAAGCAATCTTTGGTTATTCATAAGAATCAGTTTAACTGTCCCTCATCTTATGAGAAGCTCAATTGTGTATGTTACATAGAAAACATATTTAACTATTTACAAACACAAATATTCTTTTTAAATTTAAATTTATTTATTTGCATTCATTCACAGTACATCATAAAAAATGAGATTTTCCATCCAAAATACACTGTATATTGGCTCAATTAACCACATTAACATACATGTTATCATCAACAAATAATTTCCCATTTGTTTCCTGTATATATATACTTTTTTTCCCATTCCTGATCCCCTATCTCCCACTATCTGCCATCCCCTACCTTCTTCCCACACTGCCTCTGGTATCTATGGTTACTTTCTATGCCTCCCCCCCATATTTTATTGATTCACTAAAGATCTTAATTAATCTATTTTCAATAGCAAGCACAGCTGATATATACATATCCATGAACACAAGTCTGACTTCAGGCATAAACCTCAGTGAGTAGAATGAACATACTATAAAGTAGCACCTAGCTGGGGCTATATAGCTTACTGTAGTCATCAAATAGGTATTTTTAATGCCTTTTTTTTTTTAATTTCAAGAAAAAGTTTTCGTTTTTCTCCTGAAACTTTTTTAAACTTAATTTACATTCATTCCCTAAGCATTGTCACAGCATACAAAATGTGATTTCCCATCCATAATATACATGCATGTTATTGTCAATAATTTTCCATTTCCAGTTTTATATATATATGTGTATATATATATATAAAACTAGAAATATATATAATTTAAAGTATATTTAAATATATATATATATTTTTTAAAACCCCTATTTCTGACCCTTTGTTCTTTCTCAAGCTCTTCTCGCACTATCTCTGGTATCTACACTTATCTTCCATTCCTCCTCCCCCCTTTCATTAATCACACAATTTCTTAAATAATCTAACTACTTTCAATAGCAAGTTCAGCTGGTAATTTTTTTCTTTTTCTCTTTTGTGTCCTGAACATTTAGGATTTCTAACAAGATTCTTTTTTTTTTTTTTGGAGAGGTTTTTGCTATAGGGCGTGTGTGCTTGCTAGAAAGACAGAGATAGAAAGTGAGAAATCACCCCCCCAGGGGAGAAGACCACACTGCAATACCTTCTCCTCCATTCTCCTCTCAGGATCTTGGGCATGCACACATACACGCCCAGCGTGAGTTTAAGCCACTGGGTCTGGGACTTGAACTGCAGTCGACTACATGGGAGTCCAGCAACATAGCCATTATGCCAACTACTGGACCCTCAGCTGGTAATTTGAAGAAAAGCAGTTTTAACTTAAGTCAAAGAAATGCTAAGAAACTTTGCTTAAAACTAAAGCCAGGTGGGACCAGCAACTAGCGTAATGGCTATGTCGCTGGACTCCCACGTAGTCGACCGTGGTTCGAGTCCCGGACCCAGTGGCTTAAACTCACACCGGGCGCGTGTGTGTGCGTGCCCAAGATCCTGAGAGGAGAATGGAGGAGAAGGGATTGCAGCGTGGCCATCCCCCCTGGGGGGTGATTTCCTGCTTTCTGTCTCTCTGTCTCTCTCTGTCTGTCTGACGAGCGCACACGCCCTATAGCAAAAATCTCTAAAAAAAAAAAAAAAACTAAAGCCAGGAAACAGGTTAGGATTCTGTTCAAATAGTAGGTACATGAACCTACTGACAGCTCAAGATAGGACAAAAGTCCTTAATACCGGACAACAAAGCTTAGAAGAAAATCAGTAATGTTTTAGTCAAAAGTCATAAATGCTATTTCACCAGTTCAGCCTCATGCATTTAATCTATCTTATTTTATGGTTTCATCTTCCTGATTAAATTCTGGGATGTAATATTCAACTCCAGACTTGTCCCTACCATTAAATTGGCCATTTTGTTAGTTTTTGAACTCTTATTTCTGTGTCTGTATTTAATTTTCCTGATATAGTACTCCCTTGAGAACTTGGAGATCTGGTCTCGTGCTGGTAAAGTCTTTTGGGTTTTGTTTATCTGAGAATGTTCTCGTCTTTTCTCCCCATGTGAAGGATAATCTTGCCGGGTACAGTATTCTTGGGTGAAATTGCTTTTCCCAACACTTTGAATATATTTCCCATTCTTTCCTCGCTCACATTGTTTCCGATAAGAGGTCTGCTGTTAGTCTGATGGGATATCCTTTGTAGGTAACTTGATGTTTTTCTCTTGCCAATCTTTGCCTGTGGTTTTGGTTAATCTGGCTATAATGTGTCTCTGGAGAAGATCTTCTTGGGTTGATTCTATTTGGGTCCTTTGTATTTCTTGGGACTGGATCTTTGAGTGCCTCTTTAGGTTTGGGAAGTTTTCTTGCAGGATTTCATGGAATAGATTACCAATATCCTTATAAGTCTCTTTGCCTTCTGGGATATCAATTATCTGGATGTTTGGACGTTTGATGGTATCTAGTATTTCTCATATATTATTCTCATTTTTGGGCGCAATTTTCTCAGTCTTCATGGTCTTTTTCTAGGCCAGCAATTTTCTCTTCTACATCTGAGATTCTATTTTCTATATGATCTAGTTTGCTTTTAATACTTTCAAGGAGATTTTGACTTCCTGTATTATGTCTAACAGGTCCATTTGTTTCTTTTGTAAAGTGTGTAATTCCTCTTAGATTTTGGAAGAATTTCCTCACCTCCTGGAACTCGTCAGCTCCTTTCTCCTTTCTCTTCTGCAGTTCATTGTCTCTCTTCTCATTCATCTCTGTTAGTTTCGCCATTATGAAAATTCTAAATTCTTTATCAGACATTTCCATTGAACTGTCTATGGATGAAGAGGAGTTATTCTTTTCCCTGGGAGGAGAGAGATTTTCTTGCTTTCCCATATTTCTTGTGGTCCTGTGGTGATTTCTAGTCATCTGATGGTTGGTGTGTTTCTTCCTAATTCTTGAAGTCCAATCTGGATGTTCAGGAGCACACAGAAAGAGGTGATCTGGAATCTCTTTGCTGTTCCATTGTGATCCCACTCAAGTTTGTGGGCTGGAGGCTGAATTATCAGTTGAAAATCTTCATTTCTCTTTTTTCCCCAAAGTCACTAGTTCTCAGGAGCCATGGAGAAATCTTCTCACAAACACAAATATTCTAACATGCACTTTATAAAATCATGGTCTTATTTACCTGCATGTCTTTCATAAGAAAAGTATACATTTAAAAATATTCCTTAAAAACATACAAAAATTATTTGTTTCCTTTACCATTTATGCATATAAATATTTTGTGGAAGCACATGCATTATTCAATATATAAATGTAAAAATCTGCTTTATATAAAATGTGATTCTCTGCTATTTAGCAATGTGATTACAATATAGTTAGCTATTAAACAGCTAAATTCAAGACATTTGCAAATTAATACAGCAGTGAACAGTCCCTTGCACAAAAGTTCATTAAAATAAGGTCAATTTTGGTACCAGCAGAGGGTGTAATGGTTAAGTTACTGGCCTCCCACATAGTCAACCACAGTTGGAGTCCTGGACCTGGCAGCTAGGTGCGTTTGTGTGCATTCCCAAAATCCCAAGAGGAGAATGGAAGAGAAGAGACTGCTCTGTGGCCATCCCCTGGAGCATGAGTTCTCATTTTCTATCTGTTTCTCTGATGAGTACATGCACCCTCTAGCAAAGATCTCTCTAAAAAATAAATTAAAAAATAAAGTCAATTTTATAACAGATTACATTAAGATATAGGCTAATAAAAACATTATAAATGCAAAAATCTGCTGCTTTATCAGCACATTCTTCAGTCTTGTTTAGACTAGATGCCAGACTTACTGTTTACTTGTAGGTTCATATTGTTCTCCATTAAGCTCTTGCACAACAAAATATAAAGACCCAATACAATAAAAGAAATAAAACCAAACATACTGTTTTATGCATTCTGGTATGCCAATGTGTTCCAAGGAGACAAGTTCAGCTAGTTCTGCCAAATTAAAGATGTATATAATTTTTTGGCTAAATCTGGAGCTAATAAATAGTCTTGTAACAGTCAGATGTGTTCTGATAAACCAAGAGGGATGTACAAAGAGATTTTAGGTTTTTCTGCAACTTTCTATCAATTTGTGGAGAATATTTTCTGAGCCATCCCAAACTGGGCATTTTTCTTTGAGTTGTTGTACCATTTAAATAAATTGTCATGTCCTTTTGGCTGGAACCACCATCTTCTGGTAATTAACCAAAATGACCAACACAAAGGGGTGAAAGAGGAGAGACACCCAATATATGTTCTCTAGGCCTTTTAGAAAACATGGGCAACATGTATGCTAATCTACAAGGAAGGTGTTATTGTAGACATCAAGGGAATGAGTACTGTTCAAAAAGGAATGTCCCACAAATGTTATTATGGCAAAACTGGAAGAGTCTACGTTACCCAGCTTGTTGTTGACATTGTTGTAAACAAACAAGTTAAGGGCAAGATTCTTGTCAAGAGAATTAATGTGTGTATTGAGCACATTAAGCATTTTAAGAGCAGGGATAGCTTCCTAAAACATGTGAAGGAAAATGA